TGGATATCTTATCCATTTCAACTGCTCAAGGAACGCATTGAAGCATTTTGGCCTTGCAATCTTTTGCAGCATATATCAAGAGTTTAAAAATTACCAGAGACCCCTGTTTCCTTCTTACCCCAAAGTACACAATAACAAGAAACACCGTATCCATGTACATCACCAAATCCACAATTAATGCTATGTGTTGTCACACACACACACCACGCGCAACCAGCACATTTGTTTCTCGCACAAATTCTCGTTGCAAAAAGCTGGCAAATCTACAAAATTGGTAGAAGTCGGTTGTTTCAGCTAAGTTTTTTATTTCAGTTATTATTTTTTACCGTTATTAGTTATTTTCTTTAAGGCTCCCGCGTGTTCCATTTATTTTTTAATCCCATGAAAACAGTCCATCAACTCCCCACTCAGACGAAATCAATTTGTTTTTACAAAATGATGCTGAGTTTATTTTTATTATTTAATAAAAGAGAGAAAAAAGTATGATTCATTTTATTTATTGTTTTGTTATAATGAAAAATACATTTAATTTTTTTTAATTCAAAAACAATTGAAGCCCTTCCTCCCAAAATGTAAAACATAAGATGAACACAATCTTAAAAAAAATCCATTACAACATAAAATTGAAAAATATATATTGTATTTATAAACAAAAAGTAATAAAACAAATATTCTCAAAATAAATTTACTAAAATTGATTAAACTTATTTTGAAGAAGAAAATATAATGAAGACTGTTATTTATTTGAATAAAGGCGGGCGGGAAAATTTATAATTTATGACGGTACAAATTTCCCTCCACTGTATTATTATTCGATACATTTTCTGTGGAAAATCTTCAAAATACCAAATATAGGGGCTATATAAAAATGTGGACCTATGAGCAATTTTCTGTCATACGAAGAAATATCCATTACGAACTCTAAATACCAATTTGTAAGCAATTCCGGTGAAAAGCAAATCATTAAAATACGGAATATCTGGGCCTTTTCTTGGATGGTGGCTATAAGAAAACGTAGACCAATAATCTGCCAGACAAGGCAGCGCCTATAAACGACCCCAAATACCAAGTTTGAGATAATTCTATTGAAAAATGTAGCAAAAATCATTAAAATGTCGAAAATCTGGAGGTCATATGGGGACCACCAAAACTTTGACCTAAATATACAGTTCTATGCAAAGATGTTGCCTACATGCTGGGTACTCCAACTGCCAGTTTACAGCAAATTCGGCTTAAAATTGTAACTAAAACAATCTAAACCTGACGGTACAGTCATATGGGGTCTATGCGAATACGTGGACCTACTTGGCCAATTTTCAAAATTTATCAAATATATGAAAACAACTATTTGGATATAATTTTGAAAAATTCTGACAGGAAGCGGGCATGGCTTCAGGGCTGTATTTATGTAGTTTTACGAAGCTGTTCTACCTCCTTATTGTACCATGTATAATTCTACTTATTTTTGAAAAAACATTTTAAAATTTTTGACAAATCAATGTGCCCAAGCGTTGATGCATCTTCCTGTATTCTTCTACCATGCTTGGATCCAAAAAAAAAAAAGATCTCCACTGTTTAATATTTAAATTCCCTGACAAAATTGATACAAAACAATTAAAACAGAAGCTATGTTCCAGAACTGCAAGATTTTAAATTTAAATTAAAAGTTTTTACTACGGTAACCACTTTCTCCTTTATGATGTTGATAAAAAATCGCAAAACTAGTAGATTCTTGCAGGTTCTGGATTGAGCAAGAATTTACGGAAGTTGGGTACACTCAGAAAAAAATTGTAATTAGCTGGAGTCTTCACTTTTTTTTTTTTTTTTTTTGTACCATGGATACTTGCAACAACAGACTTAAAATCTATTTAAATGCATCTAAACATTAAATACGTTTTGTAATCTGTTTATACATGTGAACAGTGTCTTTCCCACATGAAATCGATAACACTCCAATGGGTTGTTATCGTTTTGTGACGTTTCTACTTGAAAATACAACTCTGAGTCTGTGTATTAAACTAGGCTTCATTCATAATTTCTATTTATTGATACTCGAATCGAATGTATTTGTTGTTGCTCGTGTAAGTTTTCCAAATAAATCGTAGAAATTACAACGAGAAAACTTGAAAGTAAAATAAAAATTATTAAAAAATATTCCTACCAACCAAGTAAGTACAACAATTTAAAAGTAATTATGGAATTTAATAGAAAAAATGGATATATTTTCATTAATAATATTAAGCCACACCCTAAACTTACATTTGACTTGGCTAAGCTTGGGGAGTGTCTCAATGTTTTCATTGTATTTCAATTAACAATGTGTCAGATTCCGAGCCACGAGTAAAGTGTTTAGTTTTTGTTTAAATTTTCTGTCTTTATCCAATTGGAAGTTTAATTCTTTAATTTCTGTTTCTTTTTCCAGGCTTGAATGTAAGAAAACGTTCCCAGATCAAAAAATTCCGATTTGAATTGTCACCATCCAAGCGCAAATGTACCAACACATGCATACACACAAACTCGCCTTTACGTTGGAGCTGTTTATGAATTTATTACAACAATAGAACAGCATTCTTGTTGTTGTACTAAAGAAATATTTCGTTTTCTTCATCGCTTCTACTTCTTCTGCCTATCATTTTGGCTTCTATCGCCACCACTGGGGTGATTGTGTACTACGCCACATACTATGTCAACAATCGACGAACGTACAGCCTACAAAAATAATCCCTATTTCACTGGACACATTTATGGAAATTTCTCACCGTTTTATGTGACCATAGCTGTCTGTACGGTTGTTTTTAGTGCAATAATTTTGATCAATATCATACTTGGTTGCTGTTCAAAGCATCGTAAATACTGGCAGGATAGACATACAGGCAATCGTTGGCTCGTATCAATTTGGTCGGCAACGCCACATAATCAACCACCATTGGATTTGACAGAATTGAAAGACGCATCGTATTTCCAAAAGCTGCAGGTTAGTAGAGCATGTGCATGTGGTTTGTAATTAAAAGGAAGTATTGAGGATTTCGTCTGAGTGGGGTTTTGTTTCCTGAAAAACAAATACTTTTTGAGGTATCTCCCTGTTCAAACAAATAGGTCATGAATTGGTCTATATTGCAAATAGCCCGATATAACAATACCACCTGCCTTTATGCATATTAATGGCTTGAATGGCATATTAATGGTTCCTTGATTCAGGCACACAGTGCATTGGAAGAGTGATCCATATTCAAAATTGTCCTATGTTAGCATCAAATTAGGGAAATCTTGACCCTTCATCTTTTCGAAATGCACATCGATGTGTAAACTCTGATCCAAATCGGTAACCACGCATATGATGATGTAGATGAAGGAACTTCAAACAGGGTAATATCGACACAAGTCTCGTCTATAGTTTTTTTTTATTTTTATTGTGGGCAGTGGACTGATGCTACAAATATCTGCACCAAATTCAAATATTGCGATTTGCAAAGTTTGAACTACATCGGATACTCTTTTAGCTTCAGTTAAGATACACAGTTTTAGGAATTAGCGAGATAAACGAGAAGGGGTAAACGATCGATATAACCCTCATCTACGTTTAAAAATATTACGATGATCAAATTGCACCAAATCGACATGTAGACAGAGAGACTGACGGATATGTATAAATCGACTCTAGATGTCTCAGAGCCAGATTCGTTGAAAGTGACATGGTGTTTAAGATTTTTTATTATACCCTCCACCATAGTATGGAGGGTATATTAAGTTTGTCATTCCGTTTGTAACACCTCGAAATATACATTTTAGACCCCAAAAATTATGTATTCTTGATCAGCTTATGCTTATAATTCTACGTCGATTTAGCGATGTCCGTCCGTCTATCTGTCTGTGGAAATCACTCTAGCTTCCGAACGAATTGAAGTAGATTGCTAAAATTTTACTCAAATGTATATTATGTCTGCAGGACTTTTGATATTGAAAATGGGTCATGTAGGTCCACGCTTTGGTATAGCCCCCGTATAATGGTACCTCCTGATATTCGTTATTTTGATTATTTTAGCGACATTATTCACCGGAGTTGTTTCAAATTTGGTCTTTGAAGTTCGTAATGGATACTACAGCCTAGAACAGAAAATTGAAGTTTCGCATTTGAATATTGTAATGGCTTATGACATGTCGTCGTATAGACCCTAATGTAACAGCAACATTCGGTATTTTTAAGATTTTAAAAATTTAAGAATAATTTTTAACGGATTTCATTGTTTTTGCGAGTTGTTAAATTCGTTCGGCCCGGCCGAACTTACAGCTTTTTTACTTGTTTTTGTAAAGCACATTATTACCATATCGAATGATATTAACCCTATGTAGCCACACGGCTGACAGTACAAACGTCATGGTTTACCATTTGTATGTACCACGCTACACAAACTGTAATCCGAGTTTATATATGAGTAGAACAATACCCATTTCGATGAAGAAAATTACAAAATGCGAAAGAAAAACGCCAATTCAAAAAAAAAAAAAAATGAAAATCTAATTTTTAGTTGTGTTTTTCTTTCGGAATTACTTACGTATCGTTTTACAGAAACAATCCCAATATATTCTTCATACATTGTCTACAAAAAAAAAACTTTTCAATTTTATTAAAATATGTTAAGATTTATATATATAAGACGAATTAAACATTTAAAAATCATTTCCTTGCCGCCATGATATATTTTTAAAAAATTCAATATCTTATTTTTCTTTTATAGCCCGCACAACGCATTTTTCCTGAAGATATCGAGGCGCAAGGTGAAGAAGTACCCATACATCAGTATCAGCAACAACAACACCAAAGTCGTCCCCCACGCCCCGAAGGACGAAGTCTACACCAACAGCAAAGGCATCGTGAGGAGTACGTTGAATTACAAACCAAACGTGAAAGCGATATATAAATTTGAAAGAAGCTAATTCAAAGAAGAATACAACAACATATCAACTTGTTTTTTTTTAAGACTAAAACAAAAAAAAAAAAAATGGCATTTATTATCTTGTATCCAGCCGTTGCAGCTTTAGCCCTTTTTATTGTCAGTGTTATAATAATTATGTTACGTTTTGGCCCACGTCTCTGCGGGCTACGTCATCACGCCTTGCCCGATCGAGAAGATTGGCAAGATCGGGCCTACGAACATGAAATAAGTTATGCCTGATATTAGCAAGGGGGTTTTCTTTAAATAATTTCCAAAAACAAATTGTTTACATTCCATTCGATAGTTACGAATGTCTTCGTTTGCCACAATTTTAATTTTTTTGTGTTAAGTGCCTTAATATAAAATCGATTCTACTCTTTATTTTAAAAATTGAACTGAAGACATTTGAAAAAAATGTTTACCACCCTTTCCGTCCATTTATTGCAACCCAAAAGAATCTCCCCTTATCTTAGGAAGACTTCTTTGCTTAGTCCTTAAGCTAACAAATTACATCGATTAATGAATATATATTATACAATTTACAAATTTTACATATTTACTAACATTTACACAATGCATTCTATGTATCCACAATTTTATGAGTTCGTGTTTTATACACGAAAAATAAAGTATGTTTAAAATAACATTTCTGAAATTTTTTTTATTGAAGATTCAGAGAGTAAGTATGATAGTTTTTTACCACCACATCACCCTAAAGATGTATTTTATTCCCTAGTTTGATTTATTAAATTAAAGAACACACACTTCTGAATAATTAAAAGGTATAATCATGTATTTATTCATTGTTCATCGACTATAAACAATTTAAATTTTACTTTTAAGGTCTATTCGTTCTATACTCACGAGGAATGCCTATTGCAAAACATTTGCATTTAAGTGGATTTTAATTAAAATCAAGTTTATAACATTTCTTAATAATTAGTGTTACAGCTAAAATAAATATGTATTTGACTACATTAACAATGTGTTAGAGCCACTTATAAGTATGTACTTTAATACTTGTCAGTTGTATCGTTAAGAACCACCAAATGCAGATACCAGTGTTGCTGTAAAGAAAAGAAAAATTAATAGTTTATTACAATTTAATTATAAGCAATATATATGTATATGAATATACAAGTAAAATAGTATCAGTCGGTTTTGCCTACAGATGTATACCCCCCGCTTTGAGTTATCCTTGTTCAAACTGTTGACCCTTTATGTGGGAGGTTCCGAAGCAGTTGGACAATATTGACCAATTTGTATCTGACCTAAGTCAGATTTAAATATTACAACGTGCCATATTTGGGCTATATCGACTACTTCCTATACTTTATATGAGATATTAGATTTTTGGAAAATGTGAAAATATGCGAAAGGTAACAGTGTTCAATTTTCATAATTCATCTAATATAGAGAAAAACATTGGTATGTGCAAAATTGAAAGGAAATCGAACCTTTATATCCAATTTTATGCGAAATAATAAATTTCGATAAAGCACATATTCATATCAGATTTCTGGTAGCAGAAGGGGTTGGCAGGCCTTGCGTTAGCAAAAACATTAGGATTTATGAAATATAAAGAGAGTTGAATGCTTATTTCGCTTTCTTAGAGCGTTTTGTTTTTCAAAATCTTGAACCCTATGTGGGGGAGGTGCCAGAAGAAATGGTCCGATTTGTACCATTTTTAAAACAGATATTGTGTTGATGGAAATATCGTGATGTGAAAAGTCTGAATGGAATTGGATGTTAATTTCGTGTTATATGAGCTTCACGAATATTCAAAATTTTTTTCCTTTGTGGGGAAGGTACCAGAAGGAGTGGACCGATATATTCCATCTTCACACCAGACCTTGGGTTAATAAAAATATTGTGATGTGTATAATTTGAAGAGAGCCGAATGCTTATTTTGGATCTTATGATCGTTTTGGTTATTAAAAACTTCGATTCTTTGTGGGAGAGGTACCAGAAGGAATGGTCTGCTCTCTACCATCTTTTTAACAGAACTTATTTTTATGAAAATATTAAGATGTACCAAGTCTGAATGGAATCTGATATTAATTTCGTGTTTTATGAGCTTCATGAATATTTAAAGTATTGACCCTTTGTGGGGATGGTACCAGAAGGAGTAGACCGATATATAATTATTCAAAATTACTTGATGGAGTGGGCCGATATTGCCCATTTTCTCACCTGACCTAGCACTGATGCAAATATTAGAATTTGCAAAGTTGGAGCAAAATCGTATTATCCTTCTCTTTTTGTGCAGTAAATTATTTTCTTTGAAAATGTTGACATTTTGCGGGGAGGTAGTAGAAGGAATGGAGCGATATTCACCATCTCCGAACTCGATCTACGTTTGATAATAATATTACGATGTACCAAGTTTAGATAAAATCGGATAGTCCCTTCGAGAGTTATCGAAGGACGCACGGACATCGTTAGATCGACTCCAAATGTACTGAAAAGGATTTGGTCCAAAGAGATCTAGGATCTAAAATCGTTATTTCGAAGAGGTATGTTTTGGCCGTATCAAATGGCCATATTGCAGATTGTATATACAAAATACAGAAAACGCCTTAAAGTATACTATAAGATGATAAAGATAAATGTGAGGTCATGCATAGTACTCTAACACGATGTTCCAGGTGGCCTTTATGAAAACTGGCATATGTGGAATATATCATATCGACCAACTAAAATGTCCCCATTGCACATAAAAAAAACAGTACGCCTCTTTTAGACCGACCAATTTCGAAGGCTAAATTTTCGCTTAACACCACATCATAGAGTAATGGATATATATGGAAAATAAAATGCTTTCATATTTTTTTTTCGAAAAAAAAAATCGAATCAGTAGATGTTTTCCAGTTAGTTGATACTCAAGCCTCTCATATCTTAAACGTGAAAATATAGATATTAAAAGATATTTCTGAACTGAAAACACGACGATATCGAAGAGAAAAAATCAAACAACCAACAACTAGGGAACCATCTTGTTGTGGGCGAAGAAACTAACATGGCATTGTCTAGACATTAATTAGTCGATGGCCCCCCTTCACTTACCGATCAATATAACCAGAATAATAGCAATTATAATGGCAATAATAATTTTTGTCTTCATGTGGGCCCACCACTTTTCCCGTTTCAATGTAACAGCTGTTGTTTGAAATGTCGAGGCTTGTTGTTCCAGTGCTTCGGCGGTGGCATTTAGATCCTCCAGTTTTTCTTGGCGGTCCATTACCTTGGTGACATTTTTGTACATTATCTCGACAATTTCGTCGGCCTGTTTTTGGGTCTGTTGCAGTAGTTCCGGAGTTCGGTAACTGGAATTATAACAGAAGGTTATTTATGTTCTAGAATTTCTCTGGAAAATACTAACTACTGAGATAGATTAGTAAGACTTTTTTAGTTTATATTTAACTAACCACATAGTATATGTACATGTACATACATATGTACCTAATATACTACAACTTACTCTGCCTCATCGGAAATTTTTTTGGAATAGTAAAGATTTTCATATAGGCATTCATCGGCCAGGTTGCTTTGTTTATCTGTTGCCATGTTTTCAGTTCCGTTTTCCTGTTATTTAATGTGTTGCCTTTTTTGTGTTGTTTTTGTTTTTACTCGATTTTAATGAGTTTAATTCCCTTTTACATTGAAAGACTACAACTACTGGCAATACAATACTAATTTTTTCACCGAACGAGCAGCTGATGTTGTACGATGCTGACTCATTTATGTGCGACCCGCAAAATCTTTCCAAGTGAAACTTCGTGACTTCTATAACCGACCGATCTGTTTATACTGAGATCAAAAAGTTCTTTCGAATAATATTTGTTTTGAGATAAATATACATGTTCGCATGTATGTACGTAGTCTCATTCTCATCTCGTGAGAATTCATTGGGTTTTTTTCTCATGTTGGGCTTTCCCTCGTCTTTGTTGTTGTTTTGTGAATATAATCGAGAGAACACACAAAATGAATACATCAATAATGCTATCATGCTTAGGTAGGCGGAGAGCAGTAAAAAGCCGCCAAAAATGATCCAATAAGTAGATGTCAGATTGTAATTTTCGCCATCGTTCTGCGAAGGTAGATTAGTAAAGCATTTATACAAAGCTAGCTGTATACAGTGAACGTAGAAAAAAGTCAGCGAAAATGAAATTTCAAAAGGAAAGCGGGAAAATTTTAAGAAATAAATGGAATGTTGTCTTAACATTGATGAAAAGGCTGAAGTAAAGATCTTAAAAATTTGCGATAAAAGCCGGACAAGTTCTTTGAACATTTTTGTCGTTATCAACAAATGTCGATTGCCGTTATCAAATGTAGGGCATCTTCAGTTTTTTTTCTCATAATTGAAACATGAATGATCTTATAGACGAAGAACGCTTGCAAATCATTGAATTTTATTATTAAAATACGTGCTCGCAAATAAGCAAAATTGTTGATTTTGGATCAGACAGAAGCATTACAAAAGCTACCAATCCATCAATGCATTCAGGAATCGGGCCGTACTTCTTCAAAAATGCTGCCAATCGTAATGTAATTGAGAATGTTGAGCGCTACCTTGAGATTGTATCCAATTTTTTCTCAAAATGCAAGAGCTTGACATTCATGACAAGGGGTTTCAACAAGACGGTACCATATGGCACACGGACACAATGGTCTCATTGAGAGGCGAGTTCGGTAAACATCTTATTTCACGTTCGGGACCGGTCAATTGGACGTCTAGATCACCTTCACCTAACCCCTTCAGACTATTGATGGTTAGGCTATGTTTAAGCGTATGCCTATACAGACGGGCCCGCTTCAACTGACGCATTGGAAGACAGCAATGAAATAAGAAACAATGAATACCTTACGAATAAATATCTTACGAAATATTGGAAAAACTATCCCAAAATTACACTCAGTGGATGATTTTTGGAATTATTTTTCGGAAAGTTCTATTATATGTCCATATCAGAGACAAATTCGAAGTTGACCTACTTGTCCTCGAAAACACATTCCATCGTTTTCAAGAATTTCACTTGATTATTGCCGTGGGTTTCTATGTCATCTCTTAATTGTCACCTATCTTTTTATTATGGAACAATTTTCAACTGACAAATATCCTACAGTTCACGATATTTTTAATAGTTTAGAATTGAGTGACTTCAATATTTTCACTCAGACGCCTGAAACGGTATAGTTTCGTCTGATCAGATTTTTTTTCGATAATAAGCGAGGAGAGCATTCCTTTGTCCATGCTCTAGACAAGAGGGCAAATTTTCTCATTTGATATGTAAGAACTTTCGATCGAAATGAATTTCTGCATGCTCATTTTAAATTGATAGAAATTGACATTTTGATACAACATTCCATATTTAGTTGTTTCTATTGAAATTTTCCATTAAATCTTCCAATTTTATCGCATGGTAGAATTTTTAAGCCAGATTGAGTTCATGTGACATCACTTCGCCTGATTCTCTTTATTGGCTTTGAACATTAAATCTTGCAAATTCCTACAGGCGTGCTAATGTCCATGATCACCTAAAATATACTCAACATTTCCTTTTAACTTTTCATTCCGTCTGACTCTCCCAATGGACATGCGATGCTTTGGGTTTATTTTGCGAAATTTTATTCGGCACTTTATGTAGGTTTATATAAATGTATAATTTACAATTGACTATTTTCAATAACATTTTAACTATGGGAATATTGGTGTTCATCACGAAGCATTCAGGTATAATGGGAAACTTGTTATTAACAATTAAATGCACTGAATAGTCAATAATACACTGGAGTCCAATGATTCAAAATAGCTTTTATATTTTTAGATTCAAATACGATCAAATAAATTGTTGTATAAAAACTCTAATTGGTAACAAACTAACTTTTCCTTTGGTGAAGTCGCTTCCATTTTTTTATGTTTTTTTCACACAGATTGGATTTGAATCGTTCATCCGACTGCCAACATATCTAGTTGGCCTCTACGTTTAAACTGATTTGTTGCTTGTTTTGTTTTACTTTCGTTGATGTCTAAAATGACTTCCCTTTTGCACTTTTAATTGTATTCGTCCGTTCGGATGTTCATTGTGTTAGAAGCTACAACATGATGGCGTGCATTTAAGGTAAACTGAAAATTACAATAACAAAACTTTGGTGACTGAAGGAAAACTATGTCATTCTTAGCACTAGGTGAGGCGGCGTTTCTTAGTTTGGAAATATCAAAAACTATTAAAAATTGTATAAATAGTTATTAATAAACAAAAATGATAAATGAACACTGTTCTACAGTTATTCGTGAATTGATAAATTATTGCTGTCACACAAGGAGAGAGTATATATTGAAATCTTTCCATTATTACATTAAGTTAGCTGAATATATTTAGAACATATTTATGCACTTGCCATAATACCAATAATATCTCCTTGTCTATATCTTGACCCGATGTTTAACAAGGGGTCATTACTCTCCTATGAACTCTCTTTCTCTCATATTTTAGACACCTATGAATGATGTTGTAAACCTTATTTCAGATCTATTTTGAAAATCAATAGTTCAGTGTATAAAAGTGTAAGCGGCCAAACAAACAGACATGTCACTAACTTAACACCTACCATTTGAACTGCGCAGTAACGGCATTTCCAATAATACTAATACAACAATAATTGTGTCTGTTTAATTTCAAATAACATCATGTCCACGAAATATAATGACCAACTTCATACGACCGAAAGGATAATGACCCACGGAAATTCCACAAATAGCTCTAGTCATCAAACTATTTTCGGATGAGTCACTATTTCGATTTGAACAGAGGAAAGAGGCAAATGTTATTGAGAAAAGAATTCCAAGGAAAGATGGGAAAGGATGGTCATTTAATTAGGAGGCAAAATTGGTAATTTATTTAAGTGAATGTAATTTCTTTGGAAATATTCAAAAGAAAAGAAAGCGCTTTCATAGAAATATTCAATCATCATTTTATATATGCATTGAGAGAAGAAAATCGCATGTATAATACAGGCAGTATCGTTTTTTCGGATTTATACTAAAAAAGATAGTTATCTATACTGCTTTAAAACATGGTTAGGATCTTCAAAATATAAATGTTACGGCTGCACCATAGCTGGAAATGATATTGATCTATTGTTTCTTATCTTTTGTAATTATTAAAATTCAGATGTAGTAAAAAGGAGATTATAAGAATTTAGGAAAGGTGTCAAAAGAAGAAATATTTAACGCAAATTTTTACTATACATTTCAGAATATACTACAATATATCATATATCATCGAAATAAAGGTTTTGGACTCTAGGTCTCTTTGGACCAAATCCGTTTCAGGACGTTTAGAGCCGATCTAGCGATGTCCGTCCGTCTGCCTGGCTGGCTGGTGCGCACGATAACTCTCGAAGGGAGTATCCGATTTGATCCAACTTGGTACATCTTAATATTATTGTCAAACTTACATCGAGTTCGGAGATGGACAATATCGGTCTACACCTTCCGGTACCTCGACCCAAAATTTCAATATTTTCAAAGAAAACAATTCACTGCACAGAAAGAGAAAGGATAATCCGATTTTGCCCTAAATTTGCATATAATAATATTTGCATCAATGCTAGGTCAGGTGCGAAAATGGGCAATATCGGTCCACTCCATCAAGTACCTTCTCCACAAAAGGTCAAAATTTTGAATAATAACAACTCTTACAAAATGTGATGTAAGAGTCCGATTATCTTCAAATTTCAGACATCCCAATATTTTAATTAACCCAAGATCTGGTGTTAAGATGGAATATATCGGTCCACTCCATCAAGTACCTCCCCCACAAATGGTTAAAATTTTGAATAATTACAACTCTTATAAAATGTGATGTAAGAGTCCGATAGTCTTCAAATTTCACATATCTCAATATCTATATTAACGCAAGGTCTGGTGTTAAGATGGAATGTATCGGTCCGCTCCTTCTGGTACCTCCTCCACAAAAATTCGAAATTTTCAAAAAATATATTCTTTGCACAGAAAAAGAAACGATAATCCGATTTGGCTCCAACTTTGCGAATCCTAATATTTGCGTCAGTGCTACGTCAGGTGCGAAAATGGATTATATCGGTCCACTCCATCAAGTACCTCCCCCACAAAGCTCATATAAAATGTGATGTAATAGTCCAATAATTTTATTAACCCAAGGTCTGGTGCCAAGATGGAATACATCGATCCACTCCTTCTGGTACCTCGCCCACAAAAGATCGAAATTTTCGAAAAAAAAAAAACAAAAAACATATTTTTTGCAATAATTCGATTTTACTCTTACTTTACAAATCCTAATATTTGCGTCAGTTCTAGGACGATAGAGATCGGATCATTCCTTCTGGTACCTCCCCCACAAAGGATCAATGTTTTGAATTACTAAAACGTTTATATAATCCGAAATAAAGACTCAAATCCCCCAAAAAGGCTCAAAATTTTAAATATGCATGAAATTCATAAAACACAAAATTAACATCCGATTCCATTCAGACTTGGTACATCTCAATATTTCCATCAACACAAGATCTATTATAAAAATGGTCGAGATCTGACCATCTCTTCTGGCATCTCCCCCACGTAGGGTTCTAGATTTTGAAAAACAAAACGCCCAAAAAAGCGGAATAAGCATCCAACTCTCTTCAAATTTTATCATCTTGTGAAGATGATATATATCTGCGAACCCCTTCTGGGTTACCTAAAAGGGTTACAATTTAAAATACTTATATCAGTCATAACTTGCGACACAAGTCTGCGATTCTTTACAACTTGCTATATCTAAATATTTATCTTAATTAGAAATCTGATATGAGTATGTAATTTATTGAAATTTATCTTTTCGCATGAAATTGGATATAAATGTTCGATTTTCTTCAAATTTTGCCCATACCAATATTTTTATTTGTATTAGAGGAAGAACGAAAATGGAATACTTCGGTCCACTGTATCTATTACCTCACTCATATTTCCACATTTCCAAAAATTTGCACATATCTTATATAAAGTGAAGGAAGTAGTTGGTATAGTCCAAATCTGGCACGTTGTTATGTTTATATCAGTCTTAGGTCAGATACAAATTGATCAATATTGGCCAATTGCTTTGGAACCTCCCCCATAATGCGTCAACAGTTTGTATAATCAGAACTCATGGCTGGGGGCATACATCTGTCGACCAAACCGACTGATAATATTTTACTTGTTTTTGACAGAAGCCAGCCTGATTTTAGTTATTGCGAGGGTCCACATATCTGTTCTATGGTCTAACAATTTTGAAATACGAGCCCAAACTGTAGGATCAAGCCGGAAAAATTGAGAGTAGAGCTGAGGAACAAGATTGATTATTCAACATTCAACCTTAAAAAAAAACAACGGCATTTAAAAATTTTTTCAAACATTTTATTATTTTTTTGTTGCATTTTTTACATTTTTCTCATTTTTTGTTTTGAAATATTTTTTGTATTTTTACTTTTGTTGTTGTTGTTTTTTGTTTTCTTTATAATTAAATATAAGTCTTACTTTCAAGTACAATCATTAATAATAATTTATAATTCCTAAATAATAAAAAAATGTATGAGAAAAAAAACTAATGGTAGAACATATCATTATAAATTAAAATAGTAAAATTGTTTAAAAAATAAGAAAATTACAAAATTTAGGAAAAAAGAGAATTGGACCAAGGGTTTTTAGATTTGCAAAAACGGGTGAATTTCTAACAAAATCCAAAAAAAGGGGGAAGGGCAGAATCGAAAACGTTTGTGTGTTAACAACGAAAAAGTGAAAGCAACAGTAGCATGTAACAAGATATCAATTGTAATGGATCATCATTATTATTATTAATATTTTAATTAATTTGTTCATATACACAAAATGTTTTGCAAATAATAGAATGTTGACAAATATTTGATTTTATTATACAATTCTTTTTCTTGGATTTACATGTCAGTAGGTGGTGGTGGTGCTGTTTGGTTTTTTTGTTTAATAAAATAAAATACAAATATTTTTATTGTTTGCCAAAACGGAAATAAGAAAAACTAGCAAGGAATATATTTGAAGATCGCCATAAAGGACATGGTATTGAAGAGAAAAACAAAAACGTATAAACATGATATAATTTTTTTTATTGAAAATATAGAGGACATACCATTTTTTGCTTGAGACACGAGCCTTTTTTCCTTTAAGTATTTTGTAAAATTAACTGTAGAACATAATTTGAGTGGTTGATGAAACAATAACCAATAACAATAAATGTGGATATTTCGTTTTTTTTTAATTATGTTATGCGATCCAACAAAATAAATTCCAAGAGTTTCCCTTTTGTCTTTACATTATGTATCAATATGTTTCATTTTTTTGGTTTTTGTAAAAATATGTATTTATGTCATTTTCAAAATAGTGGGTACGTTCTGTTTTTACACTTGTTTTTATTTCTAACAAAATAACGCAGACTAATAATAAAAATTAAAAAATCAAATACATACATGGTGTTCAAACAAAAAGTACGTAACGCAATGGAAAATATTTTGCGAGTCCCTATCTCCTTTTTTATCCGCAAATTCGGATTTTGTTTGTGAAAACGTAACTTTTTATTTAAAACACCAATACCCCTTTAATTTACAGCTAAGAATACCTTTTAATTTACATGGTTTTCTGCAATTTCAAATCAAAACTATTTCAAATGCCTATACACCAATGGACATAAATGCATTTCAAAGATATGACCATGTTTACAATCAGGCTGCGTTATTTTGTTATTCTCTTTTTTGGTATATTTTTCCGTCATTATTATTTTTTTTGTTGGTTTTAATTTACAGCTCTTCGTTTTGTATAAAAATAAATACCAAAAAAAAAATTCTGGGCCAACAAATGTTGTTTCAAAAAATTGTTTATTTTCTTGTTCTTTGTATTCGCATTACTGCTGCTGTTGCTGCTGCTTGCTGCCTGATTCCAGTCAGATTTCTTTCTGCACTTGACAGTGTGTATGTGTGTTTGTGTCTGAGAGGACAGGATAGGGAACTTAATTGTTAATATATCTCACATACAATAAAACTGTTTTGGAAAATGTTTCGATTTGTTAAAAACTTTTCTCGGCTTTTCAAAAAGGTTCGGTTTTGTTTGTTTGTTGCTGTTGTTGTTCTCTTTTTTCACTTCTTGTTTTTTATGTAAAAATATAGTTTTTTGTTGATTTTATTTTTTTTTTCAATTTTTATAACAATATTTTTCAAAGATTTTTTTTTTCAATTTTTTTCTTGGTTTAAAGAGATTTCCATTTTTTTGTAAGTTTTTCTTTTCTTTTTTTTTGGATATCTGTTGGTTTTTTTCTTTCTTAATTTCGTTTCGTTCGTATGTTTATTTCTTTGTGTTTTTTTGTTTTATTTAACTAATTATGCCTTTTTGAATGAATTGTTGTTGTTGTTTTTCGGTGATTCATTTCAAATAAAATGGTAAAAAAAACTTTTAAGCTTAACAATTAATTATAGTTTTTTCTTTCTTTCTTTTGTAGTTGTAATGGTAACATTTTCGTTGGGGAAGGGTTTGTTTTCTCTTTTAGTTTTCTTTTTCCTTTTTGTTGATAGTTGATTTGATGATGCAAATGATAAAGTTTGTTTGTTTGTGTGTTTGTTTCTTTTTCAAAAGGGATAAAAGGAGTAGTGCCAATGACATGGTGATAGTCTAGTTTTATTTTTTTTTTAGAAAATAGAAAAGAGAATGAAAGGATATTAGTTATTGGCTCATAAAATAATAATAAATTAGTAAATATCGAGGTGTTTAGAGTATGCATATCGAAATATTCGATACCAATAAAGAAAATAAAATGGAAGTGTATGTATTTTATTACCTATCATTATGAGGCAGCGCTAGCCAGCAATTCAGAAAATGCCTTGTCTAAACAATTTTTGAGCTCAGCATAAGTAACAATTAGAACTGATTGTTCATCACGGGACATGAGTTGAACCTGGAAAGAAAAGGGGAAAAATACGTCATTAGTGTACAAACAAAAGTCAATAAATAAAGTCCAATACAAAATCAAAAGGAATTTTTAACGTCCGGTTTTAAATAAAGAGAGAGCAACTAAACTAGCTAAAACATAAAACAACTAGCAAGTGCCAGCTACTTCGTCATCAAAAAGTATACCTTAATATATGTATATATATGTTCTTGATCAGCGTAAAATTCTAAGACAATTTAGCACTGTCCGCCGGTCCGTCTTTTGTAATAGGAAGCTCAAATTTTGCACAGATCAGTCTTTTGTCTGCAAGCAGGTCAAGTTCGAAGAAGGGGTTATATCGGTCCACCATATCGTATAGCCCCCATATAACGGTACCCCCCGATATTTGGTGTTTTGATGATTTTAGCCACATTTTTCAAGAACACAAGGTGTTCTTTGTGAGTACTTTACCCCCTGAAAGAGATTTGCATATATAGGTCTACAATATCGTATATCCCCATATAAAGGTACTTCCCGATAATCGGTATTTTAATTATTGTACCCACATTTTTTTTACGGAATTGTCTGAAAATCCACAGAAGGAGTTCTTTGTTAGTACTTTATCCTTTAGAAGAGAATTGTGTATATAGGTCAAGCATATCGTATAGCCCCCATATAACGGTAACGCCCTATATTGGGTATTTTGATGACTTCAGGCAAATCTTTCAATAGAATTGTCTGCAAATCCACACAAGGGGTTCCTTCTGGGTACTTTACCTCCTAGAAGAGAATTGCCCACATAGGTCCACGTTTTAGTATAGCGTCAATATAACGGTACCCCCAGATATTCGGTATTTTCATGATTTTTGCGGCATTTTTCAGTTGTTTCAGCCTATGACAAAAATTACTTATCCAGGACCACGTCTTCGTATAGCCCCCATAAAACGGTTTTCATTTGAGCGAAGATTCTTCCAAATGGTGGAGGGTATAAAAAGTTCGGCCTGGCCGAACTTAATTGCTTTTTTTCTTGTTAGTACTTAAAATGCACCATTGGTGCAGTATGACAAAAATTTTTAATCAAAGCTTCATGTATTGTACTCAATTTTCTGACTTCAATTTTTCCCTTTTACGGAAAGTATAATAGGAACATTTTTACATTTTACATTTTAAAGTCTTCAAAATCTTTCGTTTTGAAGTCTACCGAAGGAGGTATTTGTACAAGAGTTGCACAATGGACCAAATTAAATTTTTCTGCCCAGAACTTCTTCATATGTGAGCAGTAGAAACCGGCTGTGGCCTCAATATCAAATTTTAGAATTTTAGCTCTTAAATTTCCCCAATTACCAAATTTAGTAAAATTATGGTAAGCATATCGAAAACAAGGTCCAGAAACATCTATATCAAATTTGATGATTCCAGTCCTATCCCTTCATTCAATGTCAAACTTAGTGGTATTTAGTAATTTTCGTACAAATATAGGAGTATTTTCAAACCACCGCCAAATCTCAAACACATACACCATCAGTAATATAAATATCAAAATCACCCAATATCAAATATTACCCAATACCAAATAGTACTTTTACGTACAATAATGGTACATAGGCCAACTTTATATGCCCAAGCTAAACACGAACGGCGATCCTAATACCAAATTTGAGATTTCGAGCACTATCTGTTCACTCAATACCAATACAGTACTATTTTGTACTTTTCGTGCATTTGTAGTACCTATTTCCAAAACCACGTATATATCACAAATCTACCTCCGATAGGGACCCCAATACAAAATTTAAAATTTTTCACCTTTATCTTTTCAGTCAAAACTAAACTGTTCCATATTAAGTACCACTTAGAACACTTAGTGCACATTTCCAAAACCACCTTAATATATTAAACTTCCTTTTCAACCTTGTTTCAAAATTTGTTTTTGGCTCTATCCATGCACATAATACCAAATAGTTCCATTTTATAAGTTTAGTACCATTTGTGAACTTTTTGTAATCTTAAAGTTCGAATTTCAAAAAACCCTTTGTTATAACTACCCATCTTCTCATTCCGTTTGCCCAATACAATTTTTTCCAATTTTAGTACATTTTAGAACTTTTCGTATACTTTTAGTAATATTCGAATTTCCAAAAACCCTGACTTATCACACGGACGGCTGCAAAATTTCAAGCTTCTACCCTGAGCCGCTTCTTCGGTGATTGATTTCCGGTCAGTCAGTCAGTTATTTCACTTCTCTTTTATACATATAGACACATAGAAAAATGGCAACTTACTCTTTCTAATGAGCCAGCATCAAGTTTATTTAAACATTGTACAATATGTGCGTGATCCAACCATGGCCGACCATCTTCAGTGACGGAATGAAACAAAAAATCACGGAATAATTTCAGCATATATCTATCACCAATTTCAGACCAAGTACAATCTAAATTGAAGCTGTAAAATTTACAAAATGGTATTTTTTATCATTTTCCTAACAAGTTCTTCTTTTTCCAGTGACTTACTCTGGCCTCTCGTTAATACAATTTAATTTAACCAATATCCGGTAAAGGCGTCCATTTTCCATTTCCTTGGCAAGTTCGTCCTCTTGCATATCGCATTGGGCCTGCAAAGCATCCAATTGTGTATAAAATCGTGCACCAATCATTGGCATTAAATCAGTGACCGAACGTCTTTGTGTCGTTGTAAATAGATAACTGGAAATATAAAGGAAAATAAAATGAAATATTGCAATCTAATCTATCATAATTATGTATAAAAATTTACAAAATAATTAATGTAAAAATTAGAAACTGGAAGGAAAGATTATCAGAGCTCCGGGAAAAATTTGTCGAAAACCATCAACTTGATATCTTTGATGAGGTTACAGATTTCTTCTGTTCAGAGACTCATAATGTAACTTGATTTGGAATACAGTTGGGTCCCGTTTTGCGTAGCATTTTTTGAAAGATTGGTCAAAAAATTGTGCGGTTCAACTTCAGTTATGTCTCACTTGTTTATAAGATCATTAAGATTTCAAGATTCACGCAAAATCAAAAATCTGTTCTTTTTTCTCTAGATGCACTTTGTGAATGTTAAGTTATAATGAGATGGTTCAACTCCAAAAAATGTTTATGTAGTTGTATCTGCCATTTTAATATTTTTTTTTTTATTTTGAAGATGATCGTTTTGTGGCATATATGTAGGTTTCTTAAACCAATTTTAAATTTACACAAAATTTCAACCTTTACTTTACTATGTGTAGTGTAAATCTGAATTTGTATATATCCATACATTCCTCATAAATCACCTTGTATCTCTCTAACTTACACAATAAAATTTCTCAAATCGGAGGAGTAATGACGTGAGACCATTTCAATGCTGGATTGTACATTGTCACGTTGTACCGATTGCAGACATTTGCAAGCCAATGCTAATACTAGGCGACCCAATGCTGTTAGATCCTCCTGGAATAAGAAACAAGGATAGTTTTAGATTTGTTGATATAATTTTAAATTATTAAGCTATGTACCTGTTGATGCATACTGACAACGGCCAGAGGATTTGCAACATTTGGATCAAACTGTGCGATATCACTTGTGCCACTAAAACTAAAACGTATACGTTTGCCGGTGACAATTATTTTCGTTGGATCCAAACTTCTGGAATGAAAAGAAAAAAATATTTTTTTAACATAAAATATGAAAAACAGTAAGGAAAAGTCAAAAGTAGGGCGGGCCGACTATATGATACCCTACACCACTATGCATATTTAGTAGAGCCACCGTAACAAAATACTTTATTTGAAATATATCGTACGACCTATCAACCTTTGGCTTTAGAGCAGTTATAATTTGGTTTTAGAGGGAACTAATATATGGGAGGCATATCCAATTCTGACAGAGATATTTTTATCTTTTATACTAAATAACATTGCTGTAGAGTGCATGATATCACTTCGAGAAGGATTATATTAAAAAATATATATCGGAGCCGAGTTTCACAAAATGGAAATGTAAGTCCGAAATTCACTCCATTTGGGCTGATATTAACCATTATTTATTATTTGTACAATAAACCTGAAATCGGATTAAGGATATATATGGAAGCTATATCAATATCTTAGCCTATCTCTATTAAATTTAGGTATTTCCGAGATATCTGGTACCAAATATCATTGATATCGAATTGCATATTACGAATGTGAGGAACTTAAAATCCAAAATCGGATAAAACATATTAATGGGAGTTATAGCTATACCTGAACCGATTTTCACCAAATTTGATGAACTTCCTTCTAGACTGAATTCGGTCGGATGTGGCAAAATTCAGGACATTTGGACTGATATTGGCCATTTGGTGCACAATTAATCCGAAATCGGTTGAAGATATATAGGGGAGCTATATCCAAATCTGAACCGATCTTGATAAAATTTGTAAGAGGTATTTCTGGGCTGTATCTGATATCGGGTACCGAATATCATTCTGGTGGGGTACACATTACGAATGTGAGGAACTTACAACCCCCAATCGGATGAAAGATATATATGGGAGCTATAGTTATATCTGAACCAATTTTCACCAAATTTGGTGTACTCTCTTCTAGACTGAATTCGGTAAAATGTACCAAAATCCATGTCATTTGGACTGATATTGGCCCTTTGATGCACAATTAACCCGAATTCGTTTGAAGATATATATGGGGGATGTATCTACATTTTAACCGATTCTCACCAATTTCAATAGGGTTCGTCCTTGGGCCAAACGAATATTGTTTGGAAAATTTCATCTCAATCGGATAATAAATGTAAACAGCATTTTGTTCACAAAGATACGTGGAAAGACTGACGAACAGATGGACTGACATGCATAAATCGACTCAAAAGTGATTTTATGAAGATCCTCAAAAGATCCTTCTCCTATGAAGATCCTTCTCCATGTTACAAACAAATGCACAAAGACATAATACCCTTACCACTATGTGGTGTAGGGTATAAAAAGGTTCTTGAAGATGATAGATTTTTTCTTTTATGGAACATAATTGATTATATATTCAACAAATAAAATATTTTATATATAGTTTATAATTCACCACTCACCTGCAGGCTAGACCGGCTTGATGGATTGCACGTAGACCAGCGGTTAATTGCATAATTATTGCCCATATTGTTGCCTCGGGCAATAAAGGACCATTGCCCGTTGTACGTTGTAAATTGCTCTTATGACTGTTAGGGTTTAATTCGAATTAGGAACATATTTTTGATAATTCATATTTGATTGTTTATGTCTACCTGAAGGGGCGCGCTTCGCCCTGGAATGGATCATTGTAGCCATTACTTTCTGGCGGTGGTGTGAAATATTTCGCTAATAACGTCTGTGAGTTTGGATGATAGTCGTAAACTAATACTAATGCTATTAAGTACGAAAAACAGAAGAGATTTGAAATAAGATTTGAAAATTGATTTTAAGATGGATGAGATCGAAATACTTACAGTTATCACCAAATGCTTTTGTTGTGAAGACTTCACGTAATTGTACCACATTTGAATGTTGTAACTTCTTCCACATTTCCACAACTGTCATACATTTTGTTGATTGTAAGCGGAAACCTGGAATGAAAAAGAATATAAAATTATGAATAAATAAATTCTTTATGTGAGTTTTTGAAACTAAATTACAATACATCCGAATCGTTTAAAAAATATCGTTTAGACTTATAAAGTTCCAAAATCATGGGGCTATACTATATTGGGGACTTATATTGATAGTATATTGAATTTCCGCTGCTAAGTTGGAGTGCCGAATTACAGTGATGGTTGATTACACCGTTTTTTAGAAATAACAGAGTATATTTGGAAATTAGTATAAAAATATGAGACACATGTATCGACGTTTTTAAAGTTGCGTCAGGAGATAACCAAAATAGAACGGGAAGTTCTGCCCATTTTTGATTACATTCAGTTAAGATTTCTTGGAATCTGTTCGTTTTAGGTATATAGTAAGTTCGACAATATAACTGGTAATGCTATTAGGATGACTTATATATGGATGCTACTCTGAAACCAAGGTCCAAGTTAAAACCATATCAATTAAAGCAATATCGGAATATATGACCAAGCCTAACTAAAATCAGGGGATATCTTTATATATAAGGGCAGTACTAAAACGTGGACATATATAAATAATTTTTTGGTAGTAGCGCTTCTAAATATAAGGAACATAAAAATTAAATGAAAAATATTACTAAAACGTAAAGAAATTCTTGAAATCGTGGTTTGCCTATATAGTGGACCAACATGTTCCATTTCTAAAACCAATGATTCCGGATTTAATCCAATAATTTTTATTATATTTCAAAGCTCTATTCTAAATGTTGAGAGTCGATTTATGCATGTCAGTCCATCCGTCCATGTATTTTTGTGAACAAAATGCAGATCGCATTATTTATCCGATTGATATGAAATTTTGCAAATATTATTTGTTTGGCCTAAGGACGATTTTCGTGGCCCAAATATACGTTTCATCTGATTTGGTGTTAAAGTCCCTCACATTCGTAATATTCATTCGACAACAATTGTCTTTGGTACCAGATATCAGATACAGCGTAGAAATACCTTTGCCTAATTTTATTAAGATCGGTTCAGATTTGGGTATAGGTCCCATATATATATCTTTAACCGATATCGGGTTATTTGTGCACCAAATGGCCAATATCAGTCCAAACGTCCTGAATTTTGGTACACCCGACCGAATTCAGTATAGAAGCAAGTACATCGAATTCGAATTGTTTCCTCCGATTTGGTGTTTAAGTCTCTCAAATTCGTAATATGCATTCGACAACAATGATACTTGGTACCAGATATCTTATAGAGCTCGGAAATACCTCTGCCGAATTTTATGAAGATCGCTTCAGATTTGGATATAAGTATATCTTCAAACGATTTCGGGTTAACTGTGTACCAAATGGCCAATATCAGTCCAAAAGTCTTGAATTTTGGAACGTCCGACCGAATTCAGTCCAGAGGCAAGTACATCAAGTGTGAAGAAAATCGGTTCAGATATAGCTTTAGCTTCCATTCGTAATATGCATTCGACAGTTCGGAAATTCTATTGCCAAATTTAATCGAGAACGGCTAAGATTTGTATATAGCTCCAATATATATCCTTCATACAATTTCAGGTTTATTGTGCAAATAATGGCTAATATCAGCCCAAATGGAGTGAATTTCGGGACGTATGTTTCCATTTTGAAACTCGGCCCCGATATATATATATTTTTAATATAGGCCTTCTCAAAGTGATACCATGCACGCTATAGCAAACTATAACTGCTCTTAAGAAAAATGTTGATAGGTGGTACGATTTTCTTACGGGAGCTCTACTACATATGCATAGTGGTGTAGGGTATCATATAGTCGGCCCCGCCCCACGTTTGACTTTTCCTTACTGTTTTTTTTGGGAACATTGATGCAATTATTTTTTGCTATACAGTGAAAGTAGGAGAATTCTTTTCTTTGGTGACACAATGTAAAATTTGATGAAAAAAATGTTTGAAAGCTTTGTAGGAGCTAAAGGACTAAAAATACCACTTTTTGATTCTCTTGAAGGTTAGAAATTTCTGCAAAATATTCACATTATTGAAGGACCTTTCAATATCAACCTTCAATTTCTAAAATTGTTTTTATTTGCCCCTATTGGTATGTTGATTTTTAGGAGCACGCTTAGAAGCTAGTTCAATTCCCCTAGTTGATTCCCCAATCCTTTTCGCCCCAAAACCCATATCCTCCTCATTACTTACCATGCAATCTCCTCAGACAATATTTAATTCCCGTTGTACTGTGTGTCGCCTTGTACGTTGACGAGGGCAGAGTTAACTTGGCATGCAATGGCTGTACGGGTAACGCTTCCAATGGATACAACGAATGATAATTATCCACTTCTAATGGCAGGGCGTGTTGTGCTGTTTCGCTGGCGTCCAACATTAAATTCGAGATCACATTACGCGACAAAACCTCGCTGCGCATTTCGTCGGGCATAAAGAACGCCGACTCCAATTGGGTTTTCGGTTGCATTGTTATGACATTTGACGCAGGACCGGGATAGACATGACCTGTATACAGTATTGAGGGTTGGACGGGCGTTAGGGAGGCGCCACCCGTTTGTCCAGTGTGATGTGAGGCGACCGTATCGACAACACCGCCGGCTCCAAGTCCGACAGCGCTGGAACTTTGGGCGGTTGTGTGATTGGCAGTTGGATAAAAATAGACGGTGCCACCGACATTTTCCTAAAATGAAAAAAAAAAAAACAGGAATTCAATGATTGCAGTTTTGGAAAGCAATTTCTTTCTTAATTTCCTATCCAGCTTACCTGATGTACACTGGCGGGCAATGTTGTGGGTATGGGCGATGCATGCGGTGTTATGCGCGGCGGTGATTTCTCACCTATACTCGAGGGTGAATCATTGCGCCGCAAACTGCTGCGTCCACCCTTCAATGGTGTGGTGGTTGTCATGCCTACGTATCCCTGATTGGCGTTCGGTGGTCCAATTTGTTGTTGTGAGCCACCGTTTATCAGACTATGTTGTGGCTGTTGTTGCTGTTGGAGGTGTGATTGTTGTTGTTGCTGCTGCTGTTGATGATGCTTCTGTTGTAATTGTTTTTGTTGTGCCACGACAGCGGCTGTTGCTTTCTGTAGGCCCAGCATAGACGGTGTACCATTGACCGATTTGTTGCTCGTACTGCTGGTGGGTGTTAGACCGTTTACAGCGTTGGCGACACCACCATTGAGACCATTATTTAGCATGGGCGTATTGTGATACGGCGAATAGAAATTTGGCGATGAATTGATACGTGTTGGAATGAATTCAGGCGATTGTTGTGTTACCTAGGCGGCGACGAATGTGCAAAAAAAAGCGGTTGTGTAAAGGAGGATAGAGAGAGAAAATGGAGAAAAACGATTAATTTTGATGCTTTACGAGAGATATACATATATAAATATTTATTTATATCATTATCATAACGTAACATTATCAAAACATATAAATATTTATTTTTTAACAAGTAAACACGATAAACAAAATATTCTATATTCAATTTACAATAAAATTTAATTTACTTATTAAGCTAAGACTACAAGTCCCTCGGCAGCAGCAGTCCGAAGAAAACTGAATCAATTTTCAGATCGTAACATGATGTGAACATGAAAGATATTACAGCTGTACATAGACTTTAAATAAGAATTTAAATGTTTTATTTTTTCCACGGAGTTTATTTTCTTAAAGCGGTAATACGAAAATATTTTTTTTCGATTCCGATTATTTTTTAATGTCCACTTTGGTAATTGTACCTTGAAATTTTTCCCGATGATCAGTCTTAGCGTGTAGGAGGGTGATAAGGCTGGGTTTTTGGAAATTCGTACTAAAAAGGTACAAAAAGTACTAAAATGTAGTAAAAACCAGTAAGGAAAAGTCAAAAGTCGGGCAGGGCCGACTATATGATACCCTACCCTACTATGAATATTTAGCAGAGCTCCGTAACAAAAGAATTTATTTGAAGTAGATCATTCCACCTATCAAGATTTGGCGTTAGAGCAGTTATAGTTTGGTTTCGGAGAGAACTAATATATGGGAGGCATACCCAATTCTGAATAGATTTTCACTAAATTTGACGGAGACATTTTTATCCTTTATACCAAAAAACATTGCTATAGAGTGCAATATCACTTCAAAATATATATTTCGGAGCCGAGTTTCACAAAATTGAAACATACGTCACGAAATGCACTTCAAATCTAGCCGATCTCGATTAAATTTGGCTCTCTCTATAAGATATTTGGTATATACCATGTATCATTGTTGTATACATGGGTCAATATAAGTCCAACTGACCTGAATTATGGCACATCCGACGAATTCAGTCTAGAAGCAAGTACATCAAATTTGGTGGGAATCGGTTCAGATATAGCGATTTCCACCAAATTTATATATATATGGGAGCTATATTCAAATCTGAACCGATCTTGATAAAATTTGGAGGAGGTATTTCTAGGCTGTATCTGATATCTGGTACCAAAGATTATGGTTGTGGAGCGCATATTACACATGTGAAGGACTTACAACCCCAAATCGGATGAAATATATATATATGGGAGCTATAACTATATATGAACCGATTTTCACCGAATTTGACGTACTTGCTTCTAGACTGAATTCGGTTGGAATTGAAAATTCAGTTCATTTGGACTTAAATTGGCCATTTGGGCACAATTAAACGAAATCGGTTGAAGATATATGGGAGCCATATCTAAATCTGATCCGATTATCACCAATTTCAATAGGGTTCGTCCTTGGGCCAAACAAATATTGTTTGAGAAATTTCATGTCAATCGGATAATAAATGCGACCAGCATTTTGTTCACGAAAATTCATGAGCAGACGGACGGATAGACGGATTAAAATGTATAAGTAGACTCAGAATTTGATTTTATGAAGATCCTCAAAAGTAACTATAGGTGGTCTCTTTTGTATAGACATGAGCTTTAACATGAGCCATAGTCTAAAGACTTTAAATCGACTTTAAAACTTTAAATTAGGGGGCCAGTTGACCGGTGCCGAACGTGCACGAATTCGCCTCTCAATAAGTTAATCGATTAATCGATTTGGTGCTAAAGTCCCTCACATGCGTAATATGCACTCCACAACAATGATATTTGCTACCGGGCATCAGATATTGCTCGAAAAATAATAATCGGTTCAGATTTCTATATAGAGCTTCGATATACATCTTCATCTGATTGTACGGTTATTGCTCACCATATATGTAATGTCAGCCCAAATTGAATAGATTTTTTCATATTCAACCATTTGGTGAAACTCGGTTCGTTATATATTTTACTCGTCTTCAATTTAAACAAGTAAAAAATACCCTCCACCATTTGGAAGGAACTTGAAAAATTTCCGTGAACAATGTTGCTGAAACCTCAAAATACTGACTATAGGGAGATACCGGTATATGGGAGTATATGAAGACGACATTTTTTTCCATAGGTTGTAATACCGATTGGGATCTTCCAATACGAAATTTTAAACGATTCTGGTGAAAAATGTTGCTAAAATCATTAAAATACCGACTATCGGGGCTATAGGAAGACGTGGACTTGCATACACACATTTGTCATAGGCAGTAGTACCCATTACGAACTTTAATTATGAAATTTTGAAATAATTCCGGTAAATAATGTCGCTAAAATCATAAAAATACCGAATATCGGGAGGTATCGCTATATGGGAGCTATACGAAAATGTGTACCGATATGACCCATATACGAACCTAAACTGTCTATGTACTGGTAAAATATTTTCCATAGGTTGTAGTACCTATTAGATTCTTCCAATACGAAATTTGAAACGATTCTGGTGAATAATGTTGCTGAAATGATCAAAATACCTAACATCGGGGGTACCGTTATATGGGGGCTACACGAAAATGTGGACCGACATGACCCATTTACGAACCTAAGAACTATGCATGTATGCAAAATTTTAGCCTCCTGTCTCAATTCGTTCGAAAGACATCGTGATTACAACAGACAAAGCTAATATACCCTGCATAGAATGGTGGATTGTATAAAAATGATACATTTTTCAGATTCCTTTTTGAAAAATTTTCCTATCTATTAAAAAAAAAAAAAAAACACTCTATATTAAACTCTAACATAACAAACGTTTTCACATTAAGAAAATCTCGACAGACTTATTTAGTATAACAAACTTTTTCCATTTCCGAATAATATAAGAGCACTGCTCTCTCTTCACTTCTCTGTAAACTCTAACTTTCATTTCTTCTTAGTGGGTCACAAAAATATCTTGCTGCAGACGGTATGGAAATTTAACAAAGTGAGATTAATAAATGTCAAAAACTTTATGACTTACATATGAATCATACATACATATGTACATATGTGAATGTGTTTGTGAGTGTGCCTGTCTTGTAAATGATTTCGTGTTCTACATACAATTACTTGGCCAATAACCAGAATAACAATTACAATCCTTTCCACATGAATTAATCTATATATCCTTATTCTCTCTTTTTGTGTCAAGTATGCCTAATTACATATTTACAAATTAATTTCGATCACACATTTTAAACTACAAACATACACAATTTTTGGTATTGCAAATTTATTGGAACAAGCACATTGAAACGTGTCACATATACATATTTTTTACACAATAGAATACAATATGTTGATATTACTGTTATCTCTATGTCAACTATCAAAGAGAGAAAGAGCGCTATAAACTATGCTATTGGTGTCACAACTATGGACATTTTTACAAAAAATTCTTGTGCATGACAAACATTGTTTACCTGCGACTTCTTAATCGATAGCGGTGAATCCAGGCTAAGTAAGGAAAATCCCGCATTCATACCATATGTTGGCGTTGCAACATTTTGTCGATTCTTTGCAAAATTGATTAGAGTTTTGCAATTACGAAACAAAAATGAAGTTAAATAAAAAAATTAAGAAGGAAAACAATATTAATGATTTGAAGAATATCACAAAGGGAAAAATAAACAAAAAAGAGTATTTTAATTTGAATATAGAAAATCCTTAAGTGCGAAAGATGATTATTACATATTTGTTTTGGATTGAGCGTTTGTAACACATATGATATGCCGAATATAAATATTTTATAAAACGATTAAAAAAATCAACAATTTACCAAGTTGCTCAAAGTTTCAAATTGTAGTCGCGTGATTTTTCTCAGTTTTATTGAGGGCCATGGTATTATGAGAACTTAAAACTCAAACCCAGCCTTTTTTATACTCTTTCTTTTGCACAAAAAAAGCTAAATAACATGCATATAGATTGGAAAATTCAGTTAAATCCTTTGAGACTTTTAATAAACAAGTGGTTACACATGGGACCAATATTAAGACTTGGGCAAATCTTTGCAAGTAGTTTCAACTTCAACAAATGGAATCATAAAAATGTTAAAATTGACATAAATCTAACCTCAGCATATTGCACTGTGCGAACTTTGAAGGAGATGGGGCAATAATTCCATTTGTAAATCTGTGTGGGAGATATAGCAGGAGTCGACCGACACATCTTCATGCCAGGTCAAGCGTTGTCAAATTGGGATATTAAAAGTTCAAAGAAAATCGGACACTGATGTCTTATTTTATGAAAGTTATTGGTATTCAAAATGTTAACCTTTTGGAAGATTGGTACGAGATTCTACCACGGACCAAGTTTGAACCATATCAAGTATATAGTTTTTTATGAGCTAAACGTATGATTTTGTTTCGAAAAATGTGAGCTTTTTAAGGTGATGTAACAGGAACGGATGGTGTGCAAAACGTATGCTTTACGATAGTTATTTTTGACCCTTTGTGAGGGAAGTATAGGTATCAGTGGTTACTCCATAATCTCCATAATATAAGATTTCATGTTTTTTATTGCACTGACATTAAAAATGTTAGGATGCAAATTTTTCACAAAAGTGGAAGATCAGTTCTTGTTCTATGAGGTGAACTATTTTCTGTGACCTTTTGTGGGATAGCTACCAGAAGGAGTGGGCCGATTTTGCCCATCTCCGAACTAGTTCTAAGTTTCATAATAAATCGTACGTTGGACCAAATTGGATACTCCCTTCCACCGATGGATGGACCAGGGGTGTCGACTCCAAATGTCCTGAAATGGATTTTTGAAAACGAATCAAATGATATATATCCTCTGTAGCAGTATGGCTGGGGGTATACCCTTGCAATGACTAAAATCAGGGATATCTTTATATTAGAACAAGACCTCCGAGAAACTCGCTCCAATTTTAAGAAACAGTGAAGTTTACTCGAATCCTCACCTTTTTTAACAAAACTTGGTGCATTGTAATAAAATTATCAAACTTAGAATGAGTTTGGAGATGGGCAAAATCGGTTCACTCCTTCTCATGCATTCCACACAAAAGGTCGAAAATTTCAAAAAAAAAAAAAAAAAAAATGTTACCTCACAAAGAAAAGTGGGAAATGATAATTCGGTTTTGCTTCAACTTTGCAAATCCTAATATTTGTATCAGTGCTGGGTCAAGTGCGAAAATGGTCAATATTGATCCACTCCATCAGGTACATCCCCCACAAGGTGTCAAAATCTTGAATAATTATAACTCTATTAAAATGTGATGTAAGAGTCCGATTGTTTTCAAATTACACACATCAGAATATTTTAATTAACCCAAGGTCTGGTGTGAAGATGAAATATATCGGTCCACTCTTTCTGGTATCTCCCCCACAGAGGGTCAGAATTTTGAATATCGGTGAAGCTCATAAAACGCGAAATTAACATCCGATTCGATTCAGAATAGGCACATCTTAATATCTCCACATATTTCCAACACAAGATGGTAGAGATCGCACCATTCCTTCTGATACCACTCTCACATAGGGGGAGAAAAACCAAACGCTCAAAGAAAGCGAAATAAGCATCCAACTCTCTTCAAATTTCACACACACAAACATTTTTACTAGCGCAACCAGGAAGCTGTGATGTTCTGGAATTTATGATTTCGCTTAAAATTGGATATAAATGTTCGAATTTCTTGTAATTTTTTCCATACTAATATTTGTATCTGTATTAGATGAAGTATGACAAGTTAAAAAGCAGTAAGTTTGGCCGGGCCGAACTTTGAATACCCTCCTCCATTTGGAACGAATTTTGAAATTTTTAAAAAATAAATAAATAAAAATAATTTAAAAAATACCGAATATAGCCGTTATATTGGGGTCTATACGACGTGGACCTACATAGGCATTGTTTGTCATAAGCCATTACCATATTTAAATTCGAAACTTGAAATAAACCGTGAATAATGTAGCTTAAATCATCAAAATATCGTATATAGGAAGGTACCGTTATATCGGAGCTGTGCGAAGACCTGGACCAGCATAGACAAATTTCTGTCACAGGCTATAGCATCCATTGCGAACGTAAAATACGACATCTTAAACAATTTCAGTGGGTATTGTACCTAAACTCGCGATATACCGAAATAGGGAGGTACTGATATATGGGGCCTACACGAAGACCTGGACCTGCATAGACAATTTTCTGTCACAGACTGTAGTTCCCATTACGAACTCTAAATACGTAATTTGAAACAATTCCGGTGAATAATGACTCTAAAATCATCAAAATACCGAATATCGGGAGGTACCGTCATATGGGGGCTATACGAAGACTAAAGGCAAAAATTTTGCGGTATTTTAATGATTTTAGCGACATTATTCACCGGAATTGTTTCAACTTTGGTATTTGAAATTCGAAATGGATACTACAGCCTATGACAGAAAATTATCTGTGCAGGTCCACGTCTTCGTATAGTCCCCATATAACGGTACCTCCCGATATTCGGTATTTTCATGATTTTAGCGATATTATTCACCGGAATTGTTTCATATTTGGTATTTTAAGTTCGAAATGGATATTAAGCCTAAGACATAAAATTGTCATCCATTTCGAACTTCAAATACCAAAGTTGAAACAATTCCGGTGAATAATATCGCTAAAATCATGAAAATACCGAATATCGGGAGGTACCGTTATATGGGGACTATACGAAGACGTGGACCTGCACAGATAATTTTCTGTCATAGGCTGTAGTATCCATTTCGAACTTCTAAAAATTATTACATATCTCATATAAAGCGAAGGAAGTACATTACTTTGTAATATACATTTTCAAAACACCAATATAGCTCTACTTTTATAATATAGTGGGAATTTCCTGTAATTGTGAAAAATGAAGTTTTTGCACTGTGTACTATTTGGAAATTGTGCGTAAGTACATCGCTATATATTTGTAATATTATATCTAGTGTAAAAAATAATGGTCCAATTCTTTTATAAAAACTAATTTTAGTTAACATTTAGAGATATAGCACCTCAATATCAAGTAAAATATATCCATCCTTAAATCGAATGTTTATCAATAACCAATAGACCGAACAAAATGTCATTAAAATAATAACAAAAAAAATCATATCAAAGTGGTGAATGTGTTACAAACATTTTGGCCAAAGCAAACATATAGTAATAATACGCAAGTTGATGTAGTATATAAATATAATACAATTCTAATTGAAGGATATCTTGTATTTCGAAATATATAATAATTCAAATGAATCGGCCAATTTGTGAGAAGAAAACATATTTTTCCAATATAAATGATCTGGGAACATAATGTATATCCTAAATTTTTCTCTAGACTTAATCAATTATTTGTTTATATCAATTAAAATATGCATATAGAATTGTAATATTGATTGAATTTCTTGTCAACGTTTTTGCTTACCATATATGTTGCAAGTTTACTTTCAGAAGGTATGACATTTGATGGAGAATAAAAGATTGGATCCATAGCAGCCGTATCTGAAATAAATATAAAATAATGGAAAAATTAAAAACTTGCAAACAATTTTTTTAGAAAATAAAAATTAAATAAATTTATTCATGGGTTCTTAGAGAAAATCTTATTCTTTGGAGGAATTTACGATTTTTTTATCTTTCTGAGATTCAGGCTTTTTTGCAACCATTGTCAAAAAAAATAATCACAAGTCATTTGCAATTGCATGTAACTATGTAAAAAAATACGTTATAAATTCTCTACCATTGTAGTTAACCTGCGATATGATTAATGGGCGTTAACCCAGTTAATTTGGTTTATTAAAAATAATTGCTTAAGAAGAATGAATATGGACACGCAATAGCTGACAATAATATTCGTAACAGAAGAAATTTTTGCTGACACAGTTTTGGAGAGGACGGGTGGCGTCTAGATTGTAATTCACTTACATATGCAATTGCACCAACAACAATGTTATTGTTAATTCAATGCATTATCTGTGTGTGTGTGTGTATGTTGGTCGATACGAATGTATTTGTTTGCAGATTATATTGACAGATAAACAAAATAATTGCAATAATATTATTAATATTTATTTTAAATATAAATACCTGCTATGACATTAGCAGTTGAGTGTTAATCATGGGAGATAAAGGAAATATAAGATGGTTAGAGAAAGTCAGAACGAGAAAACTTGTTGTTAATTCTGGGTTGAGACAGTTTTTACAATCTACAATAGAACAATTTCAAATCCTTCTTTACATGTCACATAAATGCTTATATTTCTACATAGAGACTGCAAAAGTCTTTATGCCCATGGAACAGCATAACTTTTTCTTTCCATATCGGCGTTTTGAAAGTTTACATCGGGAGGTAGCAAAAAATATTGGTGGGAAATTTGGGTCATTTTTATATTTTTCAAAAATATTCGAGTTGAGATTCCTCTTCTTTTGTATTGTTTTCGGTTTTCCCTGCAAGCAGAAAGCGCAGAAGATTTGTATAACGTCTTCAATCCATAGAAGACCTGTATGAGGTCTTCGATTCATAGAAGATCTGTATGAGGTCTTCGATCCATAGAAGACATGTATGAGGTTTTCGATCCATAGAAGACCTGTATGAGGTCAATTAATAGAAGACCTGTATAAAGTCTTAAATTCATAGAAGACCTGTACAAGTTCTGTTGAAGGTATTCTACCTATGAAAGAGCTGTATAAAGCCTTCTATCTATAGGAAACTTTCTGCAAGACATATTTTCGTAGAAGTCCGATTGAAGATCGTCTATACATAGAAGGACTGTATAAAGTCTTCTATCCATGGAAAACTTGCTGAAGGCCTTTTGTTCATATAGGGCGTATAACGGGTATTGGATCGTCTCCTATTTATTGATGCATCGGGTAAGGTCTCATATTTTTAGAAGGCCTGTATAAGGTCTTCTGTCGGAAATACATGTACAGGGTTATTTTTTGGCCTTCAAACGGCCAATGAAACCGTCACACGCTGCCCGAATATTGGCCCATTCCCGGCGAAGCGCTTGCTTGAGGTGATCGACACTCTGGTATTTTTTAGTGCTAACCATGCTTTCTAAAATACTCCAGACACAATAGTCCTTCGGATTGGTATCCGGATTTTTGTAACCATTCTTGGGTGGCGCGTGCTGAGTGCGATGGTGCTGAGTCCTGTTGGAATGTCCAAGGTCTGCGGCCAAAATGTTTGCGTGCCCAAGGCTTTAATACAACCCCAGAATATTTTCGCGATAATATTCGGAATAATACGAACGGAGAGCGACCATCGGCTGTTATGGCGGCCCACACCATCATCATAGCCGGATTTTGAATTCTGGTGGCCAACCGAAGGTGCACATTTTCAGCTGACCTCTTTGGCAAGTAAACACGATTATTTTGTTTGTTTACAAAATGCTGGACAACGAATGTTTTCTCATCGGAAACGGAGAAAACCAAATTCGGCAGTTCACTTTCGGCTTTCTATTCTTAGAAGACTTTATAAGGCTTCAATCAAGAGAAGACCTGTATAGGGTCTTCAATCAACAGAAGACATGGATAGATTCTTCGATTCATAGAAGATCTGTATAAGGTCTTCTTTTTGGTCTTCAATCCATAGAAAACCTGCAGAAGGTATTTGATCAATAGAAGACCAACAAATGGTCTTCCACTTGTGGAAGACCTGTGCGAATATCTCTATCCTCTATCCATGGAATTCCAATATAATATCTTCTCTTCGCTGAGGACCTGTATTAGATATTCTATTCGTAGAAGACCAGTTGAAAGTATTTTATCCATGGCACGTATAAGGTCTCCAATCCCATAAACTCCTGTTGAATGACTTTCATAGCCCTTTCATAGAAGTGGGTCCCAATTTTAGGTATTTTCAAGATTTAGTTAGATTAATTTCTACGTAATGGTTAAATGTGATAGGAAAGGGTGATTTTAGGAATGTTGGAAAAAGCTTAAAATTCTGAAAAATGCATGGGTGGACCTCAACCGCTTTTGTCTTATTATGGCATACTTTTTCCAACCTTATTGTCCGGTACCTCACAAAAAAATACTTCAATGTTGTCTTCCAATGGGTCAATTGTAGCGGCCTCGTCTGGACATGAGTTTTTACATAGCCTTACAAAAAATAGTCCGAAGACGTTAATTTAAATGTCCGGTCCGGAACGTGAAAATAAAGTGTTCACCTAGAACTCGCTTCATCTTCTACGTCTAAAATACATGCTGAAGATCGTGTGTCCATTAATCTGTTATAGATCCCTCCCTCCGTAAAGTTCAAATTTCACTGCGAAAAATTGGGTCACGTGGACGAAGTTCAATTTGTTATTATTTCATCATCATCATCAAATGAATTCTACATCAAAAATAAATCTAAGACGAAAAGAAACGTCAATTAAAGCATCTATTTTATGTGGAAGGAAGCTGACTTGTTTATTATTATTTCTTTCGCAAGAAAAACCCCACAAGAAATAATAATAATTTCAATAAATTCAAAAGAAATGAAAGTGTTTTGGTGATTTATTTGAGAATAAATAAATGGATTCATCTTCTGTCTGACCGCCCAAAACGAAATACTTTCTCTGCTACTCAAAGTATTCCCCCCATCAAAAAAAAAACTTGCTGCAGGCACATAAATAATACTTGCACAGAGATTAAGACGAAGGGAGAGAGAGAGAGATAGTGTTGGAGAGAACGAAAACAAACAGTAGCCGAGATGAGTGAGTGAGTGAACGACGACGTCGTTTCATTTCAATGTTAATCAAATGGCCATGATACCAATTTGTTGGCGTTTCACTTTGTCGTCGTCGAATGTGGTGTGTGTTTTTGTTGTAGAAAAAAAAAAAAAAAAAAACAACAGCACCATGAGAAGGAGGAGGAGGAGCGGCCTGCGAAAACGAGAGGAGGCTTTCAGATAATGACCTTGAAATTTCTTCATCAAAATAAAAACATTACTTTTATTTGTTCAATTTTTTTTTGTAGCTTTTTCGTATTTTGTTAAAAATTGTTTCTCTCTCTTCCTCTTGGTGGGGGCATGCGGCAGCCAATCTCCTCATGCATTTACACTCGTGCTTGCTCTGCCCATTATTTTTTTAAATTCTATATTAATACGATTGTGATAATGTGTGTTGTGCGTTCAATTGATTAGATTGTTTATCAAGAAAAATGTTTTTCTTTAACCTCTTGCTACCTTCTTTTTCGCTGTATACAAATTAATCCCATTTTATGTAGAGTTGTGATGATAAATTAAATAAATAAAAATAGAAAAAAAAACAGGGATTAAAAAATAAATTTGTACTTTGCTATTCGACAAGAAGAGAAGATTTCAATGTTTTTTTGTTACTCCGGTGAACTCGCTGGTTCTGTGGTTCTAAAGTTTGAAATTAGGGTCACTGATGGAGTTCAGGATAGATGTATCAAAGGTTTTTTTTTTTGAAAATTCGAACTTTAAGATTACGAAGTGTTCTAAAATGGTACTAAACTTCAAAAATGGTACCATTTTGATATTACGTGAACAGATTGAGTTAAACATTTGAAATTTGGTATAAAATTCGTACGAAAAGTACTATATTGTACGAAAAGTATTTGATAGTACTAAACTTGGTGTTGGGTGAAGGAATAGAGATAAAATCCTGAAATTTCATATTTAGATTACTGATGGTATCTGTGTTTGAGATTTGGCGGTGGCTTGGAAATTCGTACTATGTTTGTACGAAATGTACTAAATGGGACTTATCATCACTAGCATGGAGAGATGTAGATTGTTTTGGATATGCCTACTAAATTTTACTAAATGAAGGGGTAGAGCTGAAATTCTGAAATTTGATATTGAGGTCAATATCGGTTTCTATGGTTTATATATGTAGACGTTGAAATAGTTATGGACAGAAAAATTGGATGTGGGCCCATTTTGCAATAGCCTTACCAATATTCTCCTCTGTTAATTTCAAATCAAATATTTTGAAGACTTTTTGGTGTAAAAGGCAAACCTTTTCCTATTATTCTTTCCGCAAAAGGAAAAACTTGAATAGTTTATAAAACTTTAAAAGTCTGAGAATTTAATACGATATATGAAGTCGTGATTAAAAAATAACGTCAAACTGAAAAAAATTTACATTTGATTACTCTCTCCACAATTTGAAAATTTTTTAGAAATTTAAAAAAAAAAAGTTAAAAAGTGCAGTTCAAATTATAAAAATACCGAATATAGGGAGTTACCGTTCTATTGGGGTCTATACGAAGATGGAGGCCTGCATAGTCAGGTAATGTAGTAAACATTCCGAACTTCAAATACCATATTTGAACCATTTCCGGTGAATAATGTCGCTTAAATCACCAACAAACCGAAAATAGGGAGGTACCATTATATGGGGGCTATATCAAATTGTGGGCCTACATGACCAATTTTCAATACCAAAAGTCCTGCAGACATAATATACATTTTGTGAAAAATTTTATCAACCTACTTCATTTCGTTCAAAAGCTAGAGTGATTTCCACAGACGGACCGACGGACATTGT